AGCTCAGCCTGGTGCTGAGGAGCTGATAGACTCACTGCTGTCACCAGGGTTGTTGGAGAGCCCTGCAGCGTGCTCCTTGCGCTGTGCAGAGCAGAGCTCCCCTGTGGACCTTGTGCGTTGCAATGAGCCTGATGGCTCCTGCATGGCACAGAGTGCTGCAACACACCAGTGAGTGCAGCGAATGCCACTGCCCAGGCTGCAGAAGGGGCTGCAGGACATCCCCAGGTAAAAGATCTGCTGGGGTAGAGGGGCAGCGTGCCCCATGAGCTACAGCTATAGGTGCTGCACCAGTTAGACTGGGGAGGGTGGGAGGAGGAGAGCAATGATGAAAAACCGGGCAGTCAAGACAGAGCATGGCCTGGCAGAGCCATGCAGATGGGGACCTCAGGAGGTCTTTGGTCCAACACCTGCTCAAAGCTGGTCCTGTGAGATCAGGATGCTGAGGAACATGGACAGCTGACTGCAAGTATCTCCAAGGATGGTGATCCCACCTCTTCAGGCCCCTGTTCCAGTGTCAGACCATCTTACTTTTATTTTCCCCCTTTTATCTATTTGGAACTCCCCCTGTACCACCTTCTGTCTGAGGTCCCAGTTCTGGAGTAGGAACTGGTGCAGGGAAAGAACTCATATAAAAACCCAAATGCACACACACATAAAAAAATCATAGAATCACAGAATGGTTTGGTTTGGAAGGGACATTCAACGTTCATCCAGTTTCAATGCCCTGCTACAGGCAGGGACACCTTCCACCAGACCAGGTTGCTCCAAGCCCCATCCAACCTGGCCTTGAACACTGCCAGGGATGGGGCAGCCACAGCTTCTCTGGGCACCCTGTGCACACGTGTATGCACATACACAAAGTAAAACATAGATATGGATGTAGACACATAAAGATGTGTACATACATGGACATGTATTTATTTATATGTTAAGTTTATACATACATTTTTATACATATATACACACGCATACATATGAACAAGACTTATTTTGCCCTCACGAAGACAGTTTCATCACTTAGAAGGGAATTCTCTCTCCTCAGACCTGCACACTCACTTACCTGGACAATGGTTCTTAAAGAACTGGGGAAGGAATGGTGAATGCATCCCATGGGATATTTATTCACTCAGCGGTCCCCTCTCAGGAAAAGCTTTCAGTGCAACAAAGGTGGTTCATGGTGTTCTCTAACAATGGGCTCCTATGAAGACTCGCTGGGCCACCACACGGTGCTGGTGTTCCTGTTGCTCATCAGTCAGCCTCTCCAGAGCTTGCCCAGCTGCTTTGCTGCTCTGCTGGTGGCTCACAGAGCAGTTCCACAGGAGGCCTTTTCCCAAAGGAGGTGTGCAGCAGGGGCCCCCCGACCCTGGTGGAGCAGACTTGAGGCAGGGCAGAGGAACACCACTGTGTGCTGCTCAGGAACCCATGCTGCTGGGGGCTGCCTTTAGGGAGCAGCTTGCCATATGCTCGGCCTCGGTCAGAAATACCATGCTGGTGTCGTTACTGCAGGAATCCTGCAGTGCAATGAACCTGTACCCTGGTGGGAAGAAGTCGGCTCTGAGGGCATGTGGGTAGGAGGGACACAATCTCCCTTCCCACCCAGGAAAGGTTATGAGCTTCCCCCCACGCTCCAATTCCTTTACAGCCAGCTCCACAGCAGCACACAGAACTTAGGGTGCAGGTACAGGGGGGATTCAGTAGCTACTCTGGTCATGATGGCTTTAGCAGCAGAGTTCAAACTCCTGGTGGGTCCATCTTTGGTACCAAAGGAAAATGACCCAAGACCTGAAAGATGCTGTCAAGGGCACGCTGGATCTGGGGTTGGGAGGAGAGAGGGACTGTAGCCACACTCTGTTGTGCTGCTGCTTGCTCAGGTGCTGGGTGTGTTATGAAGCGCTTCACAAGACTGCAGTGCTTGATGATTCCTTCCTACCCAGGACTTCTGAAACCCTTCCCAAGCAGTGGGGTCCCACTTGCCTGCTTATGCTGGACCTTGCACAGTTTCCCAGTTTGTGCCAATGCCCTCAGCTGCCAGGCTGAGGTCTCCTCAGAGGGCTTCGGGAGGACCTGTGCTATGGACTTCTGTAGGCACAGGGTGAAGGTGTAGCATATTGGTGCCATATCTCGGTAAGCACAGGCCAGGGGAGCTGGGACACTGTGTCACACCTCCCTCCTCTCTTTCAAACAGGCAGGGCTCATTGGAAACATAAAAGTGCAGACCAACAGTGTGATCCCTGCTCTGGCCACCTCCTGTCAAAGCACCTCTACATGTACCCACTGTGTGCTCCCCGCTGCCTCCCAGCTGGGTACTACTGCCCCAGGTGCAAGAACCCCTGGACCCGCAGCATCTGTCTGCAAGATGTGGGCAGCAAGCAGGGCGCTGGGACCATCTCCATGGGGCTGTGCACTGGCAGTGGTGCAACCACCAGTAGGACCTGGCCAGGGCTGTGGGTGCCCCGAGGAGGGCTGCACACCCCTATGGGCACCATGTAGCTCCAGGGCTGTCCCTCACACTGCTCTTACTGGCACGGCCACGCTCCCAGCCCCAGCGCTGGGGCTGACCCCAAAGGCAGAGTGTGGGTGCAGATGAGGGGGGTTGAGCGGAGGCCCTGGCTCTGGTACTGGGTTTGGAGCTGGGTCCAGGCTGTGCCACAGGCATGGGGTGTCCCAGCAGAGCGGGGCAGGGCAGGGCTGGGATGGGAAGGGAGGCGCCGGGGCTGGGCCGGGTGGGATCCTGCGCAGGAGATGATGTATGGGCAGATGTATCAGATCGCACAAGATAAACAAGCAGTGAATTTCATCAGGGCCCATCATGGCTTTAATTTGGCTGCCTAATGAGTCAGATCCAGCCGCGCAGATAAAAGTTGTCAGAGCCGCAGCCCTAATGAATTTCTTGCCACTTGTAATCAAGGCAGCTTGTCTGAGGGGGATGATTAATGGGCCCCAGAGGAGCTGCCGTCCCTCGGCTTCCATTCCCGCTAATGCAGTCGCCAGGAAATTAACCAAGCCCAGCACCGGGCTGGGGCTGGGGCCGGGGCTGGTGCAGGGCACCTATGTGTGCTGTGAGGAAGAAGGGGGCGAGGCATGAGGGGCAGACATGGGCACGGGCAGGGGAGGGCTGGGGCTGGGGCCAGGAATGGGATGGGGACCACAACACTGGCACATGCGGCTAGCGCACAGAGATGAATTAGGCACTGGAGGGGTTGGGGCCACCATCTGCAGCCACCATAAGAGATGCACAGAGAAGAGGCAACAAGGGTTTGGAGGGGACTGCTGAAGGTGGGGTGCCAGAGCTGTGTCTCTTGGTGCCTCCCTTCCTTACAGCACTATCACACAGGCTTGGCGACCAATCCCTGTGCCCAGTCCCAGTGCAGAGCCTGGACCTAGGCATGGTTAAGGGGGGATGCTGGAACCCCAAACTGTTACTTGTGGTGTGGCCTTGGGTGAACTGGCAACACTGGGCCTTGCTCAGCTAAAAGCTGGAAGCAGCATGTGGGGTCACGGGTGGTGGAGCAGGGACCCACAGCTCTCTTCACTGCCTGGGGCTGTCTGTCCCCTGGGGCTAGATGACCCCAGTCTTCTGCAGCAATGGTTTTGCCAAGCAAACTCTACCCAGGCTCCTTGCTAGCTGGGACAGCCCATCACTCCCTGCCCATCTCTATTTCAACCCCCCCCACCTTCGAACTCACTGTACTGCGCACAGGGACCAGCTGGCCCCAGCACTTCCAACCCCTGCCCAGCACACACCTCATCCCACCAGAGCCGTGCATCTCTGGGGCTCTGTCCCTATACTGGCCCACAGCACCTGGGGTTGACACATCTGCGCTCCCCACCCCAGCACTCTGCCATGTACCCCAAGGGGCCCATCTCAGCACGGGACTGCTGTTACCAGCTCCCAGGTGGAAGGAGAAAGGGCTGAATGTTTGTCAGCCTGGGATGCAAATCCACCAGGCGCCAAGGAGCAGGCAAGAAGCAGAGAGGAGGCTGCACTGGAGGCCCAAAAGGCAGCACACAGAAAAGCTGGCCTGGCAGTAGGTGGGTTGCTTTATTGGTCTTTATCTCCTTGGCTGCAGATAACACACACAGGGCAACTCATGGCGAAGAAACAGTATATACAGAGTGTCCATATAAATATTTCCAATGTACATTTTATACACAAGTGACAGAGACGTTCCACAGCAGCGTCCAAAGCCTTGGGGTTCCAGCGCTCAGCCGCAGGCTTAGCCCAAAACCAAAGGGAGACGCTCGTCTCCACTCTCATCTTGCTCAGCCGGAGACCAGCCCCGCCTGGGCAGCAGCGGGAGCCAGCGGGGATGCTCTGATGGAGACACTGTGTATGGCTTTGGGGCTTGAACCTGGAAGGACAGTGACTCTACAGACAGACAGACACAGCTGGGGATCCCGGGGTGGCCATCCTCCTCCCGCTCTAGTCACCAGGGAGGACTCAGGCCTTTGTCCAGGGGCTGTATGGGAGATGAGCCCTTTGCATCAGCATGTGGGGAGCGGTACAGCGAGTGCATCCCTCTCTGCACCGGCCAGAAGCACTACAGGGGTGTAGTGGACAAACAGACACCTCCTGCTGCCCCCAACTCCCCGTGGCACCAAGGGGCACAGCGAGGCCTACAAGGGTGGGAGGGCAGGAGGGGAGAACCCAAACTGTCCGGGAGAGCTGGTGCAGCAATCACTCTCCCCAGTACCAGGAGAAGGGGAGGGCTGCACACCTCAACTGCCGCCAGCCCTTGTATTATCTACATGTGTGTGTGGTGGGGGGCACGGAGAAGCTGCCTCTCCTCCCCCTGTACCGGTCATGAGAACGGGGAGCCCCCAGCCCAGGGACTTTGAGGGAACCCCCCCCAAGCTGACAGCGCTGGGTCTGCACAGCCCCATCCCGTCCTCCCTGCAGGTGCATCGGGAGAGCCCACAGAAACCGGCACAGAGGAGCAGGCTGCTGGCTCCCCGGCCTCTTCCCTGCCAGAACACTGGTCCCAGTGAGGGGCATGTGCTGCCCTCAGACCCGCTCCAGTGGCTCTGGTCCCCTGGCAGGGCTGGAAGGTGGCTGTACAGTGAGCAGGAGCTACACAGCACTGGGGCTGGAGCTGAGCTCAGCTGGCACCACGGTGCAGGCATTGTTGTTGGCGTTGGTGTTGCGGCGGGGCAGGCTGGGGGTCAGTGTGGTGACGGCACTGTCGCTGGGGCATCCGTGCTGCAGCAGGATGTCGATGCACTCCTGGCTGCCAGCTCGCCGGGCGTAGGCCAGCGGGGTCAGGCCCCGAGCATCCCGGCTCTTCACGTCCACCCCGTACTGTGCAGGAGAGAAAGCAGCCGGTCAGTGGCACCCTGTGGCCCCATGGGCACACAGCAAGAGCATGAGCAGAGGCAGAAGGGCTCTGTGGCGGGCAGGGAGGGAGATATGGGAGAGTGGGCAGGGCAGTGCCAGGGGCATGCGGGGCAACCTGCAGGAGAGGGATGGATGAGGGGAGTCCCAAAACCTTGGAGCAGGGGGGTGCTGCAGGGGAGAAGCACTGGGATAAGGCCAGAAGTGCCGTGGTGGGGGCTGCGGGTTCCGGTCTTACCCAGATGAGCAACTGCGTGAAGACCACGTTGGCCATAGCGCAGGAGAGATGCAGCGCTGTGCGCCCATCTCCATCCCCGTAGGTCTCGTTCACTTCCTCCTTGGTGCCGTGGGCAAGCAGCGTCACCACGAGGCGCAGGTCATCCTCTACCACAGCCCGCAGCAGCTGCTGCCCTAGCGGGATGTCCGACTGGGGCAGCGGAGCCAGGAACAGCTTCTGCTCATACTTGGCCCGGATCCAGCGCTCCTTCTCCTCCCTGCCAGATGGGACACTGTCATTATCACAGGTGGGCCGACCTGCCTGGGCCCCATGTGCAAAGGGGCATGCATACCAGCACTGCCATGTTAGCAGTGAGCATTTGTCACACACAGGTGTGCCTTGTGGGTGCCCCTGCTGCTGACACCTCACTGCTGTGTTCTCCATGACATGGCTGTCACTGTGGTTCTGCTCCAGACACAGGCCCAGCACACGCTTGTCTCGTTGCACCTCCTTATAGCTCCCTTATGTACGCTATGTACTTACATCCATGCACGTACAGCAGTGTCACAGAATCCCACAACGTTTTGGGTTGGAAGGGATCTTAAAGCTCATCCAGTTCCAACCCCCTCCCACAGGCAGGGACACCTTCCACCAGACCAGGTTGCTCCAAGCCCCTGTGTCCAACCTGGCCTTGAACACTGCCAGGGATGGGGCAGCCACAGCTTCTCTGGGCACCCTGTGCCAGGGCCTCACCACCCTCACAGGGAAGAACTTCTGCCTCAGATCCAATCTAAACCTCTCCTCTGTCAGTTTAAAGCCATTCCCTCTTGTCCTATCCCTACAGGCCCTTCTCAAAGCCCCTCTCCAGCTTTCCTGTGGGCCCATTTAGCACTTGAAGCTGCTTTAAGGTCTCTCCTGACTCCTCTCTTCTATCCCAGACCTCACACTTGTTGCTGTGCAAAGGGACACCCACATCTCTGTGCTAGTGCCCCTACACACTCTCCTGTGTGCCCACTGCGTGGCAGCGCAGGGACCATCCCTGTCCCCTGCTCGTGTGTGGGCTATGGCCAGCGGCAGGAAAAGGTTAGCTGCCGCACTCAGCAGCCCAGTGCCACGGGAGGCACAGCGTTATCACTGCTGCCGTCTCGCCTGGTGCGAACAAAGGCTGCGGCAGCGTCCGTCCCGCCTGGGGCTGCGGGGCCAGGCGGATGGGATCGATGTGTGCCGTGCTGCTGCTATCTGCTGCCATTCTATCCATCTGCATCTGGCGGGCGGCCATCAATGCCCTGCGCTGAGCATGCTCACTCCCGCCGCCCCCTGACCCGCTCTTATCCGTTGATAAGGCGCAGAATGGGCTCTTGTTGGGATGAGTGACAGGAGAGTCGCTCCGATAGGCACAGACAAGGGCCTGAAAGGGACGCACCCTTGAGACCCATACAACGCTGCCAAGCCATCTCTATTAACCCTTTCTGCTTCGCAGCCAGCCATGGCTCCAGCAGTCACCGCATGGCCACAGCTGGCCATCAAGTCCTGCTGGCCCGCCAGGACAGTGGGAGAGGCCTCCAGTGCCCAGAGAGCAGTCAGGACCCTGAACACTGGAGTACCTCTGGGGTTCCTGCCCACCTCTCTGTCTGACTGAATGGCTGCCCCCAAACTCCTGTGGTGCCCTCAAGCCTCCTGGTGTGTCTGAGAAGCAGCTCCACAGTTCCCCATCTCCCTTACCGACTGCTCTCCGGGGTGGGCTTGGGGTAGCCTTCCACCGTTCCTTCCCAGACAGCGTTGGCCAGGGCGTTGCCGATGGCTGTCATGACCATGAGAAGCTCGCTAGGCCAGTCATCCAGGTCCAAGGAGCGCACACGGGACAGGTGGGTGCCCAGGTTGCGATGGATCCCAGAGCACTCAATGCACATAAGGGAACCCAGGTTGAGACTTGCCCAGTCCGGGTCTGAAAGCAGCAAGATCAGTAGGGGAGAGTTAATACCAGCATTGACTCAGCAGCCCCTCTTTTATGACCCAGCAGACCTTTGCAGGCACCTGCCCTCCAGATCCCTTTCCAGCTCAGTGCCTCAGCAGCACAGAGACAAGGACCCCAGTATGGTCAGTAGGGGACCACGGACCAGTGTGACAGGATGGGCAGTATCCCATCCCTGATGAACGGTATACTGCAGGAGAGAATGAGACACCCCAATGGACCAGGTTTCTTTGGGGTAGGAGAGGATGTGGCTGGGATGGAGTCCTCCTCCCTGGGTGAGCAGCCCCACTTCCCGGTGCATTTCTTACTTGGTGCATCACAGTCCACACAGAAGCTGTTCCCACGGGCGGTGCGGACGGCCTGCATGGCCTGTGCATCGCTCTGGCTGCCCAGCCGAGCCTGAAATGAAATGCATGGAAACCCCATTTACTGAAGGCCAATCACCCCACCACGTGTCCTCTCATCAGCACCCCAAGAGCCTGCTGCGGAGCTGCCAGCACCTTGCTCCCAACAGGCTCTGCTGCAAGAGGGGTTCAAGCATGGGAACGCAGAGAACAGGGTCTGGAGGGAACACCAGTTCATAGTCAGGGATGTGCCAGAGAACAGGGAATGGTGAGCCAGAAGGGGAACGAAAGCATAGAGCTGTACACGGAAGAGGCGGAGAGCACAGGATCCCATCCTGGTGGGTGGTAGAGAGCTCGGTGGGGCTGGAGCCAGGCTGAATAAAGGACAGAGAGCTCCGAGAGGTGACAGAAAACCCAGTGGGGAGCAACACAGTCCCAGGGACAGGATTCAACCTGACTGGGAGCAAAGGGATCTGGGTGGGATCCAGCCTGTACCAAGAGGGAAGCTTGGGACAGGGATGGATGCAGCAAAGCAGATGCCAGAGAGGAGGGAACAAACCAGAACTCAGCTGGGGCCTCTTACCTTGTTTTTGCTGCTCTCACAGCCCTGCAGGCTGGCCAGGATCTGGCTCTCAATGGCCTGGACCCAAAGCTCTCGCTCCTCTGACGTTGAGGCCTCAAAGAGCCATGTCTGGCCCGTCAGGGAAACTATAATGAACTCAAATGGCTCATCTGGTTCTGGAAAAGAAAGGTGTGTCATGACAAGGGTCAGGGAAGGTGGAGATCTGCTGGCCTTGCAGGGTGTGAGCACAGAGACTGATCCCTGTGGGACACCACTGTGACCACACACGGGAAGGGGCACTGGCAGTGGTGCTCCCAGGATTCTGGACAGGGAAGAACACGTAGCCAGTGTGTGTGCAGGGAGGAACCAGAGCTCAGTGCCAGCCCGTCCCTCCTGCTGCTTACACAGCTCCCCGCCTGCCAGCTCCATCAGCGTGGGCTTGCCCTTCCTTCAAGCACATTGACATCCACAGCCTCATTCACCCACCATCTCAGTCAAGAAACCCAGGAGACTGTGGCACCAGGAAGCTGCTTGTGCCCTGCTCTCCATGCCCTCTATGTCCCATTCTTGGAGAAAGCTGCTGACGTCTTGAGCAGTGAAATGAGCTCCTCTGCAGAGCTAGAGCCCCAAGCAGCCGCATCACCCCCGGGGCCCACAGAGTGCTTGGTGCCTGCCAGAGAGTGGTCTTTGTGGTGGCCTCCAAGGCACCTCTTCATTGGCCTGTGCATCAGGAAGGGGGATCATCACCAGCTGAGGAGCACAGCAGGGCAGGGATGCTGCTTGGGAAGCCCTCAGTGCCTGCGCACTCCATGGACCCACACAACAGGGCACAGCTGCCGTCCTCCCATAGAGAAGCATTAAGTCTCAGAGACCCAAGCAGGAGCCACAAGAGAGGCAAGAGTGATGCCTTCTCAGCACTGGCAGCTCTCAGTGACCTGCTGGGCAGGCAGCCTCTGGCTCCCAAACCTGGGACGCTGGTGGCCACAAGGGTCCCTGGAAGCCGGCCAAGCAGAGCTGTTTCCATGAGGCATGTGGGTGGCAGCAGGGACATGCACAGGGCCAGGCGACCTGCTCCTCAGGTGCCTCACTGCTCCTCTGCACAGCACTGACATCTGTGCCCTGCAAGCAACCCCAGAAGATACAGCCTCAATGTTAAAGCAGTTTTCTGGGGGCAAATTCTCAACTGTCTGCCTTCAGAAGGCATTTCTGGTGAGCCCCAGGAGATGCTCAGCCAGGCACTCAGAGGCTGGGTACAAATGGAAGTGTCAGCACCCTACAAAACAGGCTGGATGGTAGGTTTCCAGGGAGGATGTCAGGGCACAGCAGAGCCAGCACAGAGAGACAGGGGACAGTGAAAACATGTGAAAGCACCTCAGGTCCTTTGCACCTAAGAAAACAGCCCCAAAACAACCACAAGTCTGCTGAAAACCAAGGCTTAAAATGTGGTCTTCCCCTCTGGTTACTGCTCTCACTGCTCTTCATGTGGGCTGTTGGGACTGGCTCTGCTCTGCCAGACCATGCCATGAGCCTCACACCCACATGGGGTGCCCAGCTTTGCACCCAAGCACCAGCATTTACCTTTTATTGCCAACTTCAGTAGTTAGTGCAGTAAATGACTTAACTAAGCGGGGCCTGAATGGAATGACTAATAAACGTTATGTCACAGCACACGCTTCAGCTCATAGCAAAATGATTTGTAATTACCTAATTAGCGTTATGCAAATAACACCCTCATCTCCATAATGTGCCTTCCCAGCTCTCTATTAAAAGCAGGGAGTCAACTGCACTGCTCCAGAGACAGCAAGGAGGCCGAGGGGCCCAGCCTGGTCCGCAGCAAGGCAGAACTGTGCTGGCCTCGAGCCTGGCAGGGTCCTGTGCCTGGCTGGGCAGACGTGGGGAGGAGAGTGGAAGGGGTCCCTTCCTATGCCTGACTCCCCCCACAAGCTGCATCCGAGGAGCCTCTCACTGCAGAGGGAAGCAGCAGGAGGGCAATGACTGAGGAACCTGCTGCAGCCCGCAGCACCCCAGCAGAGCTGAGGAACGGGTGCAGAGGCTACCAGCAGGGTCCCACCAAGGGCATGGCCAACCTCAGCTGCTGCTGGGCTGCTTGGCACCAGCAGAGCAAGGCTGTCCACAAACACTCCCCAAAAATGGGTGCAGCCACAGGAAGTCTCCTTGAGGAAAGACAGCTCGGGTGGGGGTGGTGGTAGCACAGCCCTTCCTCCCTTGCAAGTGCTCTTTCCAGGCTCCCACTTCCTTTGCAGGCACCACCACCTGCATTAATAACTACCGGGCACAGCACCCAACCCTATCTCTGTCACACACAGCTGCTTACCCCAGAACAACCTGAGGGGAAAATGCTGCTCCTGCTACTGTGCCATGGTGGGGGGTGCCACGATACTCACACAGCAGGCTCAGGATCTTGCAGTTCACAGGGGTTAAAAGTGGGAGTGACAGCTGGTTGGAAAGATGCTTGCCCTTTGCCACTGCTGAGAGCACTCCATGGTGTGCCCTGCACAGATCCCGGCAGCAGCCATGGGGGCTTGGAGATAATCAGCGCTGATGAAATGGACTGGTGCAGGAAGTAAGGCTTGGTCTCCACACCAGCGGACCCTCAGGAGGATGGAATGACTCCAGGATGAAGGGCTCCCCAGGTGAAGTGCTAGCTGGCTTGCCTTTTCCAGATAGGAAGGGGAGGCTGTTTCACTCATTTCACCCTAGAATCAGCTTGGTGCTTCTACTCTGGGGAAAGATGTCTGCAACTGCCTTTCTCCTGCTGGAAATGAGAAACCCTAGGGCATGAGCTCATCTTGCTGAAGATGTCCCTGCTCACTGGAGGAGGCTGGACTAGGTGACCTCTGAAGGTCCCTTCCAACCCACACCATTCTATGATTCTATGATCAGGAGGACAACAAAACTGGAAGTTGGGTTCAGTCATGCCGCTGGACTCTTCCCCTCTCTGTGATGCACTTGCCTAACTGGGACATCGCTTTGCTCTTTCCTCCGGCTCTCAACCATGGAAGAGACCCCACAGTCCCCACTCTGGGGAGCTCCCTGCAGGCAATATGCCCCATACCCTGAGCTGTGGAGGCTCCAAGGACACCAAATCCCAGCTCAAACCCAAGAGTCTTGCAAAATACACAGCTGGTAACTTCTGAATAGTGGGAGAACAGTCCTTATTCACCTTGGCTATCTGGCACCATCCTCTTTGTGAATGCTGCCAGACCCTGGGAGCACCCAGCCACTGATGGCAACTGCAGTCAGGAGATACAGGATCCTGCTACCACAGCACTCAGCTGGATGTGCCAGTGCTCTGCCAGTTCCTTCTGTCGCTGCAGGAGGCTACAAGAGAGCAGGCCCCTGGCAGCTGCAGAATCGACTGCTGCCCAGAGCAACGCATTAATAGCCAGGAAGGAGAAAGTGGCATTTCTTCCTCGGGGGACTGTGACTGCCCAGGTGCTTGAGGGAGCGTTTGCAGTTCCCAGATCTTGGATCAGGCCACACTGTTGGAACAGCCACCAACAAAATCACTCCTGGGGCACCCCAATATACCAGATATATCAAACCAGTCCTTATTCTCCTTAAATCTCCCCCATTACTGGTCTGTGTGACCTGTGGCTGCTGTCAGTCTGTTGCATAGCCCCATTGAGCCAGCTGGACCTGGGAAGAATGGAAGCACTTCAAGTGCTCCCTGCTGATGAGCTGCTTCTGCTGCCACTGAAACAACAGCAAGCAGATCAGCACAGTCCCTAGGATATGCTGAGGATTCCTGCCATGGGCTCACACAACTCCACCACCCTTGTTCCTTTCTCTCACTCGCTCAGTACCTCCCCACCAAACACGCAGGAATCCCAGCCCAAGCCTTCCTGTCCAATGCACTTCTCAGCAGAGATGTGCAGCAAATGCCTGCCCTGCCATGCCTGCCTGCCCCAGGGCTCCCAGGCAGGTCTTTACCATGTGTCCCCCGGCTCAGGATGCTCACAGAGGATGGGCTGGCAGCTTCCCCATGCCCCATCCCTGCTGGGCTGCCCACACCTAACATGGGCAAGCAGCAAGATTTCTGGGGGTCCAACCCCACACAGATGGGCTTTCCCACTTCACAGGTCCCCCTGGAGCCATGGGGCTGCCTGGTCGCAGCCCTGGCACCCATCCCAGTTAAACTAAAGCCCTAGCACCAGTTCTGCAAGCCAAAGGACCTCCATCCCCTTTCCTCCTTTGTGCCTCCTGGATTCCAGCTTTACTCTGAACAAAGGGCCTGTTGCTCTCAGCAAAGCCTGGGAAGAGCTAACAAAGGACGACAGCTTTTCTTCCACACTAAGGCTTCTTTTGCAAGCAAAATCACTACCTCTTTCCCTGCAGCAACACAGGACGGCAGGGCTAGACCTCTTTGGAGGCTTGAGCACGGCACAGCTATGGCAGGAGAGTGGGAGCTGTGGGATCATGCCATCAGATTCACACACAGGGTTTAGCAGAGCTGGGCAGGGAATTGAGGACTCACAGCAGCTTCAAATGGTGTGCACACCCAGCTTCTCAGATGGTCCGGGATGAGCTCCTAGCTCCCTGGGGGGCCCATACAAGTTGTATCAGACTCAAGTCGTAGCTTTAGGGAATGTATGGGGCTTTCTCAGATTTTTCAGGGGAGAAGCACAGATTTCTGATGTGTCAGGGGCATTTCTGGCCAGATGAAAGGGCAGCACAAAGAGGGTACACAGGCACAAGGATTCGGACTACCTGTATGGAAGCAGAGTTGGCACAACACCCTTCCCTGCACCACACAGGGCACAGGCTCCTTCCTGGTGGCCAGAAAGCCCCCGAGCTCACCACCTCATACTTGACAGGGCTAAGGTCCCAGAGGAAGCCACTCCTACAGGAGTGGGCAGCCCTTTCCAGCTGCCTCGGGGCAGAGGGGCTATCCCAGGGCCAGAAGGCAGAGCCAGTCTCCCTGGCCCTGCAGCTGCCTGCAGGCGTGCTGGTGGGAGTCCATTACGGCAGCTCCATTAGAATTAGTGGGCAGTGGAAATGAACGCACTTGTCTCTCTCTCTCTTGATGATTTTTTGATGATGTTTTAAAGACTGAGCTCCGTGAAGAGTTGCTGAGCAGAGTTCGGTGCGAGCCGGCTCTGCTAATGGGCGTTAACCCCCTGACCCAGCTCCAACGCTGCCCAGCAAGGAGCGC